GATTCAAAAAAGCCCACAAAAAGCAGGCCGCAACAAGTGATGATGGCACTAGTATGCTACCGTGTTGGAATATATATTCGTTTCCCTCGGCTGAGCTCACTAATTATGGAAGTTCACATACGAGTTGTGGTCAAAATGCAGAGGAACAGGAATGAGCATTCCCTCAGGAAACTTCCTTGGAACTCCTATAATATCACCAACACATGTAGTTGAGCATGTATATATTTGATCACACATATATTCAACTACGTCGAGTGTAGCTACGAAAACCTCCCCAGCAGAATGGTCCTACTTCCTTTTAGGTCATATTGAGCATGCAGCCCCAAGGACCCGGTGTCGAATACTGAGGTGGACACCTACGATCAGTGAACTCGATCAGAGAAGGGTACCCATGCACTCACGAAAAACCAACGCTTATAGCGATCTCCTATATGCAGCCGATAGAGTCCCAGCATACGAGTGAGGAGAGACCTGAATGCCAACAGCGATGGGATGGATGGCAGGATATACTGTTATATCAAATGGCTCCGTTGGAGTAGAACTAATCCAAGTCCTGTCACACAGTCGGTCGATGATGACGATTCAAAGTGACATCATTTTCAGTATCCAACACCGACTTCAAAACTAGCCCATATAGTAGAGGCGAGCCAACGACTAGGATAATCCCTAGACTCAATCATACTGTCTGACGTAATGCCGGTACGATAATGACCAGCGGCTAATACCCTGGAGTCGTGCGAATGTCCGGGTCCATCGAGTTCACTACCCCGAAATGTCTCAATACTGCGATATGTTGCTTGCTCCCAACCCACCTATGGGAGGTCACATGGTGAGCATAGTCCCTCAGCATCACCATCAAGGTCTCAGCCTCCTCGTCAGATATAGTCTTCAACATGAACCTAAGCTATGCTACAGCTGCAGCTACCACAGAGAGGCTCTTACTTCCCATCATGACTGAAGAAGAAGAATTCTCCGGACTTGCTATTGGTCGTGAATTCGATGAGGGAGAAGCCTCTTTGACAGAGACTAGACAGATACTCCTCATCCGTAATACAGCATCGACGCCGAATGTACCTCAGACACTGCTGTCAGCGAGACTGCGGCGCCAGCGGAAGACTACTGGAAAATTTCCGGTGCTGCCTCTTCGAAGACTAACCTGTTGGGTTTACTTATGTGAGGAGGGGATAAGCGGGAGCCACTTGGTGGTAACAGATAGCTACCTGGAGGAAGGACATCCCAAAGAAAGATACATAGAAGGCGCCCCCTCGCCTACGTCTAACTGCAGCAGCCACGTTATCGATAGGCATTGCGTCCGACCCTTCCACCGGACGACTGCTCTCTACAGACGGCCATTGAGGATTCAATTGCTCCCCTGCCCGTATCTAAGGTTCCTCATGAAGCCCATAGATGCAGGAGGCCTCTCACCGTTGCCTCAATGCCAACCATCATAGCATATGCAAGAGCATAGTTAGCCGAATCGATACCAACCAACTTAGCACCTTGACACAATCTCGATAGAGACGGACCCCATGGAGAGCAACATACCTCTTAGATGCTTAGGTCGACTCTTATGCGTCATGGGTGAATTGCTGACGTTGGCTCGGACCTCCTCACTGGGTAGGTCGGACTCCGACGCCTGTGTCGAGACTGATCCCGAAAGAATTACTCCACTGCTTTTCGATGAATAATGTGGAAGAATATGCACCACATGTGTTGGTGGCAACATAAAGACTTTGAGGAATTTTTCCAAGAAATTTCTATTGGTTTCTGTACACTCCTACCCGAAGTCGTATGTAATTAGTGAGGAAACTCTCAAACTCAGCTAAAGAAAGCAAAGATATATTCCAACACTGTCGGTCACAACGTCAACATCCACGTCAAGTGGATAGATAGAAAATAATGAACTTGAAATGTTATTCCCTATAATACAACATCATGCGATATATTATATAGTATAAGACGGAAATTACTTCCTCGTTAAGGAGTCTATTTTTCCTCACCAGCTCGAAAATAGAGTATTTCACGCTGACCGAAGGTGAATGTCAGGGCAACATGGTGAGGTAAATACGACTTGCCTAAAATAGTTGAACCATTCTGGCGTGAGAATTTATCATTCGCTAGTACATTCGACTAACATTGATTGTCCATCACAGTATCTAAGCGTTGTTGGAGTTGCTACCTAGTTAACGTGAAAGATCAAATTTCCGAATAAGGGTGCGAAAAATACGCCCATCATTGCAGGAAGTGC